CTGAATCTCAATTGAAATGACCACGAGCACGTGTTGCAGCTCTTTATATAGTAGGGGATGAGACTTGAAAAGACTAAAAAAGACTCTTTTTTGATCAAATAATACTCCCCAAAAATCTATTATTCATACTTGTTACTCATACCTGACTCTGAACTCAAATGACCACGACCACGTTGTGCACCCATATGTATAGGGTAAGGTGGGCCTGAAAAAACGAAAAGGAAGACTTTTTAAAGGCCAAGTAACATTGCTGTAAAATCGATTTTTCGCACATGTTACTGAAGCCTTGTACCAAGCGGCATGAGGGTTGATAGGCGGTGCCGCCCTATATTTAGAGTACGGTGAGTCTCAAGAAGACCGAAGGGAAGACTTTTGGTAGGTCAAGCAACGGTGTTTGAAAATTGGTTTTTCTTACTTGTTACTCACAATGTGCACTGAGCTCGAATGAGGGTGAACAGGAGGCCCCCCCCCCCGATGTATAGGATAAGGTGAGTCGGAAAAAGATTCAGAAAAGACTATTTTTCGATTAAGGTACACTGCTGGAATTCCTGTGACTCTTTCTCGACTTTGTAGAAACGCAACTTTTGTTAGCTGTCGACTAGTATACGCCATCATGAGAGTATGTTATTGATATTCAATAATAGAAATTCGCCGACATTAACGATCGTTTGCGACGAAATACAATAACAAATAGTGATTCTATATCGAACGAATTACAATAAACAAAGACGGTACGTCGCGATATTATGCCATGAGCGTATACAATCGGCATATTGTTACAGAAGTCGTACACGGTTGCTGTTTATGACAATTTTTTACGTCGGCCGCAAAATCATCGTAAAATGTCGTTTACGATCGCCGTAAGGGACTACTGTATACTGCTCACGTACACTGTGTTTTACGACATTTTATAATACCAGCGTATACGGTCGTCGTGTTGTCACGCTAGTCGTTTCCTACGACACTTTACGGTCAATGTTTACAATTGCCGTAGCATGCCGTAAAGCATCAGATACGACCATTGTAAACAGCCACCGCAAACGGCTGACGTATACGACGCCTTACATTGTTTTTCGACCAAAGTATACAGTCACCGTATTGTTACGGTAGTAGTTTACGATGAACTTTTACGAACACTGTGTACGATTGCCATAATATGCTGTAAATCATCGTTTACGGCTGCTGTATATGACTAACATAAACAGTTGCCGTTTTTCGCCGTATTTGGTTAGTGGACGGCCGTTTACTGCCGAGCGTGATTGACCTGGGTGCAACAAAAAAAAGTGAAGGTATCAAAAAAAAGTAGCAGAAGTAATAGTTATTTCGACAAAATGTTAATCTAATAGATCATAAAAGGCTTAAGAGAAAAACAACTTCGTTTGTTAAAAGCTAACTTATTTTGTTGTTACAGCATATTAATGGTATAAAGCGCTCCTTGCAAAAATAAGTGAAGAAACAAGTGTAAGTGATTCATATAATGATTTAAGAAAGAAAGAATGATTGTCTTTTTTCCACTCTGGTAAGAGTCTTTCTATCGTTCTATTAATTTATGTTAATTATTTTGCTTGAACTTCACAATGAAAAATAACTTTGACTGATAGATCAAAATAAAAAAGAATTTAGGAAGAATAGAGATAAGAACATGAACTGGTCAAGTGTATATAATAGATGCAACTAGAAACAATATTTTCACGATTATTCGATATAGCAAAAAACATTACTTATGATAGAACTCAAGTAAATATAATATCATTTGTATTAAGTTATTGATCATCAATTTGGAATGAAAGAGATAATAAATGCGGAAACTTCGGATTTAAATCCGAGAGTTATGTGTACTTCAAAAAGTGAATGAGACAGATGAGTCGTTCTAGAACGTGTGGACATCAAAATTATACTGGAGAACCTACCCTCTAAACAGTTGATTTCTAATTAGTATTGCCAAACCAATAGGACTTGGGACCGAATACAGCTCAAATTTGAAATCTTCCCCTTGATTTACCCTAAGAAAGTCGTTTTTCCTATAACTTGATTTCTATTGGTCACTGCTCAACCAATAGTATTTCGATGGAAGTGGAATACAAATTCGAGTTCTCCATCTCAGAAAACCTCGAAGTATCATCACTGTGATCGGAAGATAGAGCTCTATTTATGGATCAATTAGATCGTGGACAAAAATATAACCTAGTTCTCTTCAATTATCTTTGTGACAGATGAGCCAACCTTCTTGTTTCTTTATGTTTTATATACCATTTTGTAGCTCGTGAAATTCTCTATCGAATGGTATATAATAGTTGGGGTTTTAGTTGACTATGATAGGAAAAGTCTTTTACGAAAGTGGGGATTGGTCGATCTTTCCATAGGGAAGGTGCAGGGAAAAATGAGTATTTTTGCAATAACTCAGGAAGGGCTCGACCAATCCTTCTCATCTTCGAACTCGACCGAGATATTGTTAAGACTGAACTGTGTAGAAAATTTCATCGCGATCGGACTCTCCTTTCGAAAGTTATCGTGTTAACGGCCGGACGGCCGGACACACTGACCGATTCTAGAGTATACTCACTTTTTGAGTACACAAAAATGCTTATGTGAGTGAAAATTCGAATTTTCTACGAGACAATCATCCAACGTTCTCTTAACTTCAAATAGAAAACCTCCTGATTTATAAAGCAAATTCTCCTGATAAACCCCTGCTTCTGGATAAAAAAAACCTCCTGATTCTCGAAATTTCAATTTGGTAAGCCTGATTACAATTACTGAATAGCGAACTGTTTCTTACCATACAAAATCTACATACATTTTTTTTCATCCGAATGTCGAGTGCTTTTAAAAAGTCATTAAAATAATGACAGAATCTTTTGTCCTTCGCAACGATCGAAACAAGTTCGTATGGCAACACCATCGAGAGAGAAAAATTATTTATTTTCTTTCTGCCCAACAGAGTTGTCAGTCGCTTTCAAGTCTGCACCTGACGACGAACACGTTGTTATATACTGTGAATAGACGACGGTAACTATTTGAAAAAATAAGCGAACTTTTATGTTGTATTATTAAATGTATTTTTTTCATTCCTGGCTTTCGCTGATATAACGATCTACATTTGTTTGTTACTGCCAAGGATCATTGTACTTACTATTTGTTAGTGAAAAGTTGTTTTATTTAGCTTGTAACTACATAACATGCAATGCAAAAGTAATGTAACAAATCTTAAGCCCCATTTCTCTTCGAAAGAAAAATGTCGAGAGAATTTCTTTTTAACCAGAACATAGAGATTTTATTCTTCTTTCAGATCATATGTAACTCATTTTTACCACATGTTCACCAAAGAAATGTCACAAGAGAAAGGAAGCGCATGCCAATAATGAGCTCGAACTTTTCATATAACGAAGAATAACGGTGCAAAATATCAATCCCTATATCTATTTAGTAAACATGTATCGGAACAATACTTTTTTTATGAACTGATAGAAAATTTTCTCCTCTGCCGAACTGTGCATATCTTAGTTTTGTTATACATTCATAAACAAAATGGCGTGAGAAGGAAGAAAAAAATAGCACGATAAAATTCTGATTTATATATCGACTCATGGAAAAAATCTTTTAAATGACAGTTAATTTGATTTTGTAAATTCGTCACAAAAGATCTTGTAAGACAGTAATTGTTTTGGTTTTATGAGCTGATCAAAGCATTCTTGTGAAACAGCAGTGAATTATAATGGAATGTCGTTGTATAAAATCTTTTTGATGTGCTCACAAAAAAATTGAGTAATTATTATGCCAGTGTTTTCTTCTGTTTCTTATATGATTTTAGTTAGACTTGTGTAACAAAAATAAATTGTCTTCAGTTCGAAAGAGCAAAACTTTTTTCTATCAATTAGTAAAAAAACAAAAATATTATTGTCTGGGTAAGCTTATCGAAGAACTACAGGGGCTAACGTTTTGCGTTGCCATTTTAGGGAAAAGTGTGGCAGTGTGGGTGTGAGTGTGAGTCTTTTGTTCATTCACTTTTAAACACCCCACACTCCACACGACACCCACATCCACACCCACACACACACCGTCGAAGACACTGTACTGGTTGCTATGAGCAAATCAGGCACCAACAATCAAGAGAAGCGAACTATGCGGCGGTAAAGAAAATGAAAACTTTCTTTTCTGATTATCACAAGTTTTTTTTTATCTTGATCGTTTTAACGGGAAACATCATGCTATACAATAAATGATTGAAACGAGAACGGACGCAGAGAAAATGGCTCATAATCTGTAATCTCATGCTTAAGAAAAAAAGGAAAAGAAAGTGTTTTTCTATTAAGTTTCTTGTTAAAATATAGTGGCGTCCGCCAGTGAACCCCATCGCCATGAAAGGGTTAAGAATCCCACGCTGAAGCATCACAGATTTTCCCTAGACATAGTTTAATCAGGTCTGTCTTCATCTTCAACTTCTTCTCGAGCTTCACGAAATGATTCTAACCATCTTTGAACAGTTCTGAGATAAGGAGCCTCATCACCAAAGACAGTATATAATTCATTATGAAGAACTACTCATACAAGATGAAACACACTGCGCACTCAAAAATAGAATTGAAATGATTCGTTATCCATTTGAAGGGAAGTGATCAGGTTCGATCGTATTATCAGCTACTTTGAAAACGCCTCTGTATTGTTTTGGATGGGTTCTTTCTGTTCTCCTCTTTTTTATCTCTTAATCTTCTTCCCTCTTTTGTTTCTTTTCTTTACCTTTTCAACTTCTCTGATATCTTAGCGCGTTTGTACATATAAAACAACGTGCTATTGGTTCTTGTTTATTATAAAAGTGAAAATTTAGGAAGGCTACCGCTAACCTTAGTACATCAAAATATTATGCTAATATTATAGCACTCGAATATTTATTAAATATAGGGTCGGAGTCACTGCTTTTGTTATGCCCTAGGTAAAATATGTTCCAAAAGTCAAAAGTGAGCATGCTTTGAATTATAATTGAGTCTTCAAAAAGAAATGACTTAGGTCATATCCAATGGATATGGAAGGTATCCATTTAGGAGATCAACTGTATGTCTTCCAGCAAATTGTTCGTTAGCAATTTTTTGCACTTGTTGAAAATCGATACCAGATTGATCTTGCTGATTTGTCATTTCATCACAAATTCCTTTGGCATAATCTTCATGTACTTTATAACAGCATATTAGAAATCGCATTTTAATATCTCGTCGTTTAACATATTTAAAGCCGTAAACAATATTTGAATACAAATTTTTTCGTTCCTGATCGTTTAAGCCATTAAAGTAAAAATATCGTGCTTGTTTATACTCATCATCAATGGGTAACTGTTGCTCATGTTTTGAGCTTGATTTTCGTGATAACCAACCATTTATGGGTTGAGGTTGTTCATTGTACATACTTATATTACATTCAAATTCATCGTAACAAGTTGGGTAATACTTCGGTGTTTCTCCACCATTACTGTCATAACGAAGACGACCATCACATGCTAATAGTGGATGATGATTTTTAACCATAAATGGACAATTAACTGGTATTTGATGAAAATTTGCACCTAAGCGATACATTTGTGCATCACGATAGAGAAAACAACGAAACTGTAACAACGGATCAGGCGAAATTTCAATCCCAGGAACTAAGCTTCCTATTCGTATAAAATACATATTTTTAACATAGAATAGACAGAGATGAGTGATTGAAATCGAAAATAATCAATGCATACCCGGTGAAAATGCTGCTTGTTCCACATATGTATGGTAATTGGTGGGATTTCTGTTTAATACAAACCGTCCAAATTCATGCAATTGATACTCGTCTTCACACCACATTTTTGTTGCATCAAATGGATCAAATTTTGCATTGTTTACATCATCTTCTGTCATGAATTGAACATAACATTTCCATTCACATTCATTACCTTGATCAATAAACTCTTTTAAGTCTCGCTTAGCATATTCAGGATCTTCGCCACACATTCGAATTGATTTTGAACATGTGAAGTTTTTAACTCCAGCTACACACTGGAATTTATACCGAATATAAATGTGTTGTTTTTGGGCATTTACCCATTTAAATGTATGACAAGCATAACCGTTCATATTTCGCCAACCTGCCTTTAGGAGAGAACTTAAGAAAAATATTTATGAATATCTAGTTACGTACCAACAGGGGTTCCATGATCGCTCCAAAACCACGTATTAGCTAACATTGATTCAGGTACTAATGACATAAAGTCGAAAGTGGAATTCCATGGTTCACAAAAGTTATTTGGATCTCTTCTTTGAGAGTAAATGAGATTGCTTCCCATCAATGGATCTCGAACGAAGAATACAGGAAAGTTAATACATAATATATCATAATTTCCATCCTCTGTATAAAATTTCAAAGCGAGACCACGTGGATTCCTTGCTGAATCGGGGTAATCTCGACCATATGTGACAGTACTAAATCGGCAAAATATTGGTGTCTTCTTTCCAATTGCCGATAAAAATTTTGCTTTACAATACTTTGTCATATCTTTTGTTACTTCAAAATAACCAAATGCACCTGATCCACATGCATGTGCGGCTCGTTCCACGACTTTTTCACGATTAAATAACTGTTGTTGTTCCATGAGAATGCCGTCACTAACTACCGGATAACCACTGATTTGCAAGCAATGCATTATATCTCCAATGGGATAACCATTGACTGATGTCAATACAGGCAACTCTTGTTCAGAAGAGAATGAATGTGCTGTCTTCTTTTGATCGTCGAACACATCTGGAGGTGGAACTCGATCAGGAAAATTTATATTCGGTGCCTTATTTTCCATGCTCCTTCGACAGGATGGAAGAATTATACGTCAAAATTTTTGTTTAGTTGATTGGCTATTTATTTGTCCGTATGTAATCTATGCACAAGCAATCTTAAAGGAGATTATAAGAATTTAATCAAACAACGATATGTATGTGTCTTTGTTGAGAAAGTTTTTCTCTATCCGATAGCATCGATATTATCAAATTGTATTGCGTACCGTGAGATGGCGAATATGAGCTTGAATCTATACGATTTTCACGTAAGAATAGCTTACACCAACAGCAGAACTATGTAGAAACAAGTCAAAACTCAACCCCTTTCGGTACATTACAGAATTCGATAATAGACATGCCATTGGATGGCGAATGTCTTCTTCCGAAAACCTGCATATATTCCGTTCTTTGGTAAAAAAAATTGATGTGTTATTTATGATCATCTTTTTACTATAGTATTTCGTAAGGAGCGGACTAAGAGTGCTAGAGAGATAATTTAAGGATTAAATCGAAGAGAACGAATACTATAGTAGATAAAAACCCTAAAATGCTGTCCTTGTACTAGAGATACATCAAAGTCAGAACTTTTGCTAACTAATCCGAATTGAGACAGAGAATACAAGTTATCCTATAAATTCTGATCATAATTCCTTCGACTGAAGGAAGGATCATATAAAATCATATAAGTTTGTTTCCTTCTTTGCCACCGAGTCAAAGATCAAATGTTAAAAGACTATGGATGATACGGTCATTTATAAAGTTTGACCGACAATTTTGGGACTGAGAAATCAAATAGTATCACCTGTTTTTGAAAATTTTCAAATGAATTTTTTTAAGTAACAAAATCTTAATTAAAGAAAATAACGGTTTTTTCCTCGATTGAAGGAAACACCATACATGATAAAATAAGTTTGTGTGTGTTCGTTGGTGATCAACAGGTCAAAAATGAAAGAAGAAAGATTAAATGTCAAGTTTAGCTAGATAGGAGCAGCCAAGATTAACTAAGCCTAGTGAATGCCAGTTGAGCCTGGTTAAGTTCAATTAAGGCTAGATGAGACTAGTTTTGGATAATTTAGAACGGCGAGTTTTCGTTACCATTTAACACATTTTAGTATCTAGCAAAGAGTTTGACGAAATTTAACCATGAACGAAGGTAAAAACATTCTTCATGAGACACGCGTAGGGCAGAACACCGCCTTCTATCGACGGTGGCTCAAAGAATGCACCTATTTTTGAAATACAAATTTAATTACTATAAAAATGCAGACTATAGTAGGGTTCTGTCCCCTACTTTGAGTGCCTAGTTATGCCTTTTGATGAAGAACCGAAATCCAAAGTGAATAGCTTTGTGGAACTCACTTACGACCTGTGAGAGACCTCTTACATGCATAGTTTCTTGGTCGATGTGTTCAAGCCAAACAAGGAGCAAGAAGATACTGAAAGACAGTAAGAGATCAATTTTTATGAGATATCGCGCCGACGAGATTGAGATACGAAAAAGGATAATCCCACATTTTCTCTAACAATTTAAAATATGTAACATAAATTCAATCAGATAAACTCAACGTCATGTTTTCTGTAAAATCCTCATAGAAACACTTGAAGAAAGGAGAGCAATCAGATATAACTTTTTAACTGGAATTCAATAAACGTTGTTTTTGAAAAAACCGCTCGAGTTCCATAGGGACGTTCCTTAGACATGTGTAAAATCCACTCTAACTATAGGCGTCTGCAGAATAATCCTAATATTTTGAATTGTGAATCGAGAACCTCGTTATTATAAATCAAGCAATCTTCTGCGAGAAATCATCGAGTGAATTGGCTATATTGAAAAGGGAAAAGAAACATATAGGTGAAGTAGACTTAACTATCGGAGCGGCTAATGGTCAGTAGTACCCCAACGAGGGGTCGACGAACGATTAGTCGATGATCTTAAGGGTTCACAGAAGATATACTTTAAGGAGCATTGGAATCCATAGAAAAATTATCCAGCAGTTGTATTCTATCGATTGATACTGTGTTTAAAAGTAGCGAAGAGCTGACAAAGTTTTCTCTAAATCAGTTCTGGAAAATATTTTTGCAGAAATAAAATGTTATGGAGTGAGTCTCTATTAAACTAGTCTCCATGCAAGTAAAAAACAGATATGCCGAGAATGAAACCCAAAAGATGATGATTGTGAAAATTGGGTTAAGGATGACTCGCGCATACAAATAATATCTAGCTATTTGTGTGCTTATTGTAAGCGCAAACATCAGAGAAAAATAAAAAGATGCACATATACTGCCAATTCGGAATCTGCTATGCGCTACCTGGTCTGATGAGATATTATCTGTAATATTCTCGGTTAAGTGCATTGTATGCATAATGTGTGACCTTTCCTTACTATTTTTCTCACACTGTGTATTGTCCTTATCTTTCCATCCTTACTTCGTACACTACATTGTACTTTGTTCCTATCTTATTGCTCTCATTTTCTGTCCTTAGCATCCTTTCCTTTCATATTCTTTTCTTCTCTTCAATGATTGAGTTTATAATCGTATGTTTTCCATGAAAACGTTGTGATTCTTGATAAGAAGAAATACAGTAAAGCATAATCCTATCAGCGCTAACTCTTCTATCTAAAAATCGTCATATTATATTCTTCGATCCGTGATAAACGTAGCTAGTATTCTCTTAAACGATTAGAACTACTTCAAAAACTCAAATATATTCCATTACAATGATGAAGTCATCAAAAATTAATGTACATCAATTCCATTAATTACAATGAATATTTCTACCAATTTGAGGGCCAGATTAAACGTAAGTAGGAGCTAGGATGAGTATGGAAGTCCAACGCTTTTACGTAGGGTAAACAAGTGAGTTTGTAGGTATAACTCATTTGGGGAAGCAATCAGATAACGATAAACTACGCTTTGCTAGGAGAAGAAGCCGCTTACTGCTCTTTTCCTAATACGCCTGTACATGTATTTCTCTATGGCGTCACAGGCAAAATCTCTTTAGTTCTACGGCTTTAGAGGTGTTACCTAAATAATTCTTTATTTGGTCTTTTCCCACAAACTCAAATTCCGTACCAACTTATAATGTAGATAAATTTCTTATTTCTGCTTTCTGATAAGATGTTAGACATAAAGCGTGAGTTAGTTTCTGATTTCTGCTTTTCGTATGATATATCTGAAATATGCACTAAAGTGCCTTCCTAGTTTTCGGTTTCCTGGTAATATCGTAGAAATATATGATGTGATTAAATTTCTGAATTGTGTTTGTCTTATGATGTTTTTGAAATATGTACTAAAGTGAATTTCCGATTTCTGATTTTCTGATATTTTCCATAGATATCTTCTTGAAAAATCAGAAATTATAGATCAGAGATTTGTTGAAAACTGGTAATAGTTGAAGATTTCTTATGATCTCAGCAAAAAGCGTTTCGTCTTTATAGTGAAATCTGACAATTTTAACTGTGCTGGTCTTATTCTCACTAATCGATGTTGTGCGGTTTATATGTCGGCTTTCATCTCTGCATTTCGTATCTGTTTTTCTTAAGCTTACTTCTTGTAGGTGCTTTTTTTTTATTTTCAATGTTCAAACTTTCTCATTTTCTGCATATACCTTCACAACTTGCTTCTTAGACACATCTTGACTAGCTAAGTTTTAAACATAATGAAATCTAACCGATTGATAGGTGCAGCCAATGGTATCACCGACCAACAGAAAAGTAATTTTCGTTTGCCATAGTGATCCATCCACAATTGAGGTTTATTTCTAGTTAAATGATTCTTTTCTCATAAATAAATTCATTTATTCTCTTAATTTATGTTTTGCTTCTAGAGATGTTCAGGAGCGTAAGTATGCGACGGAGAGAAGTGTTAGCATCCCCTGCTTTTGAAATTCAGTATTTCAGCATCTCTGCTATGGCAATTGACTATAGCAGCACTCCTCTACTCCAAAAATTTTGCTTTTTTCGCTCATGAACATTGCAAAGAAGACTTTTGAAGAGTGTTTTGGTGATGAATTCATATAAAATAACACTAAGCATCTTTCCCGTCGTTTCAAAAGTTTTAAGGTAGCAGGATACGTTCTGAAGATGCTTATAAATGATGAAGTGATCAAATCTTTACTTTTCTTTCCTAAAAAATAATTCCTAGTTAATGACTATTTTTCTATTAAAAAAAAGAGATCTTTCCATAAATATTCGAATTTTTCTGATGAGCTTTCTTCTTTCTAAGTTAGTTATTGGCAGTTTGAAGATAGATAGGCTTTCACCTGAGCGAATAAAATCCACTCGGATGAAGTATCTAGTTACCTATCGAAAAGTTTCTCCCCCTCAGCAAGATTTATATAAATTCCAAGAGAGTAGAGCTCGCAAGTCTAAACCTGAAGAGGCGATAAACTGCTTACATATTGCATCAAAATTTTTCTCGATTTCTGATTTCCTTTTGTTTCTTGAACTATTTGTGTTTTTAAAGCCTTCTTCTCGTGAAATCATATAAAGTAACCCCACTCTCCGCCAAATAGAAGCCCAGTGGGGGTTCTCTGTTCCGCAAGCTGTAACTTTGTAATAAAGCATGCCTTGATCCTAGTTTTTGTGATATTTGATAAAGAAATATTCATTCTTTCATTTTTCATTGTTTTTACTTTATTTTGTTCTACAGCGAACCTTGACTTTCAACGGAGAATTCTAACACAAGGGGTGAGGTTCTATTCAATTGGGAAGTTTACTACCAGAAACTCATGGATACTATACAGCAGATGTTTTTTTAACGTATTATTTCAAATCTTTAACATTTTACTCGATTGTAGACACACCGAGATACAGAATTATGTATATAAATTAGCCCTACGGAGCTATAACCTTACATTTTTAATACTGTTGTAGATCATGTAGCTCTTATTGCCATATCCGCTTATTATCTTACTGCCGTATTGCCTTATGAACTTATAGCATTATCCATCCCTACCTTCATCCTATCGATTTATTCCGTTATAGTCATACTGTTAGAAGCTTACCTCCTTATAGTCTTG